CATGGCAACGGACAGTTAACCCATAACAACACATGTAAACGCATGGCAACGGACAGTTAACCCATGGCAACGGACAGTTAACCCATGGCAACGGTCAGGTAACCCATGGCAACGGACCGGTTACCATGGCAACGGACCGGTTACCATGGCAATGGACCGGTAACCCATGGCAACGGACAGTTAAAACATAACAACGCATGTAAACGCATGGCAACGGACAGTTAACCCATGGCAACGGACAGTTAACCCATGGCAACGGTCAGGTAACCCATGGCAACGGACCGGTTACCATGGCAACGGACCGGTTACCATGGCAACGGACCGGTAACCCATGGCAACGGACAGTTAAAACATAACAACGCATGTAAACGCATGGCAACGGACAGTTAACGCATGGCAACGGACAGTTAACCCATAACAACGCATGTAAACGCATGGCAACGGACAGTTAACCCATAACAACACATGTAAACGCATGGCAACGGACAGTTAACGCATGGCAACGGACAGTTAACCCATGGCAACGGACAGTTAACCCATAACAACGCATGTAAACGCATGGCAACGGACAGTTAACCCATAACAACACATGTAAACGCATGGCAACGGACAGTTAACGCATGGCAACGGACAGTTAACCCATGGCAACGGTCATATAACCCATGGCAACGGACAGTTAACCCATAACAACGCATGTAAACGCATGGCAACGGACAGTTAACCCATGGCAACGGACAGTTAACCCATAACAACGCATGTAAACGCATGGCAACGGACAGTTAACCCATGGCAACGGACAGTTAACCCATGGCAACGGTCAGGTAACCCATGGCAACGGACCGGTTACCATGGCAACGGACCGGTTACCATGGCAACGGACCGGTTACCATGGCAACGGACAGTTAAAACATAACAACGCATGTAAACGCATGGCAACGGACAGTTAACGCATGGCAACGGACAGTTAACCCATGGCAACGGACAGGTAACCCATGGCAACGGACCGGTTACCATGGCAACGGACCGGTTACCATGGCAACGGACCGGTAACCCATGGCAACGGACCGGTTACCATGGCAACGGACCGGTAACCCATGGCAACGGACAGTTAACCCATAACAACGCATGTAAACGCATGGCAACGGACAGTTAACGCATGGCAACGGACAGTTAACCCATGGCAACGGTCATATAACCCATGGCAACGGACAGTTAACCCATAACAACGCATGTAAACGCATGGCAACGGACAGTTAACCCATAACAACGCATGTAAACGCATGGCAACGGACAGATAACCCATGGCAACGGACAGTTAACCCATAACAACGCATGTAAACGCATGGCAACGGACAGTTAACGCATGGCAACGGACAGTTAACCCATGGCAACGGACAGTTAACCCATAACAACGCATGTAAACGCATGGCAACGGACAGTTAACCCATAACAACACATGTAAACGCATGGCAACGGACAGTTAACCCATGGCAACGGACAGTTAACCCATGGCAACGGTCAGGTAACCCATGGCAACGGACCGGTTACCATGGCAACGGACCGGTTACCATGTCAATGGACCGGTAACCCATGGCAACGGACAGTTAAAACATAACAACGCATGTAAACGCATGGCAACGGACAGTTAACCCATGGCAACGGACAGTTAACCCATGGCAACGGTCAGGTAACCCATGGCAACGGACCGGTTACCATGGCAACGGACCGGTTACCATGGCAACGGACCGGTAACCCATGGCAACGGACAGTTAAAACATAACAACGCATGTAAACGCATGGCAACGGACAGTTAACGCATGGCAACGGACAGTTAACCCATAACAACGCATGTAAACGCATGGCAACGGACAGTTAACCCATAACAACACATGTAAACGCATGGCAACGGACAGTTAACGCATGGCAACGGACAGTTAACCCATGGCAACGGACAGTTAACCCATAACAACGCATGTAAACGCATGGCAACGGACAGTTAACCCATAACAACACATGTAAACGCATGGCAACGGACAGTTAACGCATGGCAACGGACAGTTAACCCATGGCAACGGTCATATAACCCATGGCAACGGACAGTTAACCCATAACAACGCATGTAAACGCATGGCAACGGACAGTTAACCCATGGCAACGGACAGTTAACCCATAACAACGCATGTAAACGCATGGCAACGGACAGTTAACCCATGGCAACGGACAGTTAACCCATGGCAACGGTCAGGTAACCCATGGCAACGGACCGGTTACCATGGCAACGGACCGGTTACCATGGCAACGGACCGGTTACCATGGCAACGGACAGTTAAAACATAACAACGCATGTAAACGCATGGCAACGGACAGTTAACGCATGGCAACGGACAGTTAACCCATGGCAACGGACAGGTAACCCATGGCAACGGACCGGTTACCATGGCAACGGACCGGTTACCATGGCAACGGACCGGTAACCCATGGCAACGGACCGGTTACCATGGCAACGGACCGGTAACCCATGGCAACGGACAGTTAACCCATAACAACGCATGTAAACGCATGGCAACGGACAGTTAACGCATGGCAACGGACAGTTAACCCATGGCAACGGTCATATAACCCATGGCAACGGACAGTTAACCCATAACAACGCATGTAAACGCATGGCAACGGACAGTTAACCCATAACAACGCATGTAAACGCATGGCAACGGACAGATAACCCATGGCAACGGACAGTTAACCCATAACAACGCATGTAAACGCATGGCAACGGACAGTTAACGCATGGCAACGGACAGTTAACCCATGGCAACGGACAGTTAACCCATAACAACGCATGTAAACGCATGGCAACGGACAGTTAACCCATAACAACACATGTAAACGCATGGCAACGGACAGTTAACCCATGGCAACGGACAGTTAACCCATGGCAACGGTCAGGTAACCCATGGCAACGGACCGGTTACCATGGCAACGGACCGGTTACCATGGCAATGGACCGGTAACCCATGGCAACGGACAGTTAAAACATAACAACGCATGTAAACGCATGGCAACGGACAGTTAACCCATGGCAACGGACAGTTAACCCATGGCAACGGTCAGGTAACCCATGGCAACGGACCGGTTACCATGGCAACGGACCGGTTACCATGGCAACGGACCGGTAACCCATGGCAACGGACAGTTAAAACATAACAACGCATGTAAACGCATGGCAACGGACAGTTAACGCATGGCAACGGACAGTTAACCCATAACAACGCATGTAAACGCATGGCAACGGACAGTTAACCCATAACAACACATGTAAACGCATGGCAACGGACAGTTAACCCATGGCAACGGACAGTTAACCCATGGCAACGGTCAGGTAACCCATGGCAACGGACCGGTACAGTACATTTCAACATTTTCAGCAATCACTCACAATCCTGGCACAGTGAACACATCGCACAGTGGCATGATTGTTCTTGCATTTGTGTTTGACCTGACACATGGCTCTTTTTCCAGGACTAGGTGTGGAGGGTTGTGTCCGAAGCAACTGTTCTTTTCTTGCCTTCTTCTCAGCTACATGAGAGTGAGCCAACTCTCTTGCAAGCTCCACCACATTTACATATGAATGACTAGGAATGGTTCCATCAGCCTCATTACTACATTTTCAGAAAGTCTCTCCCCAGTGGGACGATTGGGGTCCTTGCCAAGATATGGGAAGACATTGCAAATGTACTTGGATTTTAGGTCGCAAGCCACCCAAAACTTGATCCCAAACTTGTCAGGTTTACTTGCAATATACTGCAGGAAACAGCACCGAGTCTTTGATGGGAAAAGCTGTTCATCAACGGTGATATGTAGACCAGGGTTGTAGCACGTGATGCAGTTGGTGACCAATGATCCCCACACACTGGAAATTGCAGCGAACTTATCAGTCTTTGCTCGATTTGCTCCATTGTGGCATCAATCAGACCACTGGTATAATGTTGAAATGTACTCACTCACTTTTTATTATTATTTGTAAATATGTGTACAAATGGTTGGTTTTTTGTACTGTTTTTATCAATAAATCTCAGCAACAAAGGACCTACACCCATGTGTGTTGATTTCTCCCTAAGACGGCAAACTGAAACACTCCAAGTTGGTGACTTTTGGAGATTTATTTCCCTGGATGATTGAGAATGCATCAAGATGAAACACAAAAGGAAGTTCACAGCTTTTAGCAGCTCCCCCACCCCCTCATCCACACACCCCCACTCCCCTCCCTCCAGAATTCCCAGCTAACAACCTAATATACATATGAATGACTAGCCAATTTAGCTTCCACTTGGCTGAAGCTAAAGCTTAGCTAAAACCCATTTGGCTGCTCTCCGGGTTTTAAAGGTAGAAAAAGCCAAATGGCAGTCCGTGGTGATGTAAGTGTTAAGGCTTCTGCGAGAATGGTGGAACCTGCTTACAGACCTCCAACGCATTGTCCTCGCTTGCCATCTTCTGTTTGGCTTCCATGGGGTTTCCCACCCAACAACACAGGGGGCCTACTCACTCTGGAATAGCTCTGGTGATGCACGAGTAGTTGAACTTTTGACGTCCTCCCATTGTCCTCCATGCCTTTCCCTGTTTACATTTGTAAATATTAGGCTCAGGCAATGTGCTTGCAGAGTAAAATGTATAACTGTGCATCTCTGAAAAATGTTTATATGCTTGCAAACAGCCGAATATTTGCAATCTAATCCAGCATTCTCCGCAATGAACATGCTGCAGTATATTCGATAGGTTTGATCAAATGGCCTTTTGACACAAAAGCTCATTTGAAAACCTTTGATATATGTTGTCTTGTTCTTGTCAATTGTACATAGCCAGTGCTGAGTGAATTTATGATATGGGTTTATGATAAGACACCTTTTAGTCACTCTAGCTTTCTTCTGAGGTTAGCACATCAATTCTTTTAAACAAGGGTCTGAATCTGCTTCTAAGATAATTGTTGATCTGTTTCTCTGCAGTGCCAAGGGCTTCCAGCACCACCGAATGACCAACGGGGCCATGAATGTTGAGATTGGAAACCCTGCCTATAAGATCTATGAAGGAGATCCTGATGATGATGCTGGGGAACTTCTGGACTCCGACTTTGCTTTAGACCCAGACAAGGTAACAAAGCTTAAAAAAGCCGTTTCATTACAAAATATCTGAAAATGCCTGGTAGTGGCTAACCATGCAGATATTTCCACATTTATGAGTCCTTTTGTGAGTTTTTTTTTTTTAATGAATTGGTTTTGGTTGTGGAGTCATTATAGACAGTAAATAGACCCTTCTTTGTGATCTAAAGAACACTGGATGAAAGTAGCTGGGTTTCTCAATATATTCCTGTCCTTTGGACGTCTAGTGAAAAACAGTTTTCTGTCTTGACTGATCTGTAATCACTTTTCTACATTTATATCCAGTTTTTTGCCATCGAGATCACCACAGTCCAAATGCAAAAGCTTTAAAGCAAGACTAACGGTGTGTTCACACCGAACGCGATGGACGCGAATAAAACGCCCCAAACGCCCCTAATTTGACGCGTGTACATTCGCGTCTCAACGCGTGTCCAAGAAAAATCCATCGCGCGTCAAAATATCATATTTTGACGCGCGTGAACCGGAAATGTGGGAGGAATGTGGGAGGGAGTTGTGCCAGACCGGTATCTTTGCAAGATGGCAGCTATCGAGCTAGCGCTTGAAGAGAGAGTCTCCCTTCTCTATGTACTGTGGAGAGCAGAGCAGCAGCGTAAAAGACGTCCTCGCCGTACCTGGGTCCATCAGGTCCTCCAGAGGCATGAGCAGTTTGGTGAGTTTCACCACTTGCTCCAGGAGCTGCGCCTGGATGACGGCCGATTCCAGCGCTATCACCGTCGGCCAGTTTGAGGACCTGCTTTCCCTCGTCGGTCCCAGCATCGCCCGCCTAGACACCAACTACAGACGCTCAATCCCACCTGCAGAGCGCCTGTCCGTCTTCCTGAGGTTAGTAAAACTATTTAATACGGTAGTCCTTTATTGATACCTGTGCTAATATGCTAATCCATCCAGTTATACACTGCTAACATGGATGTGCTATGCTAACAGTGAATGCTGTCGGTGTTTACTGAAAGCAAACTGTGGTACAGAGACGACTCTTTATAATATTTCTAGTGATACTCAGAAGCTCTCATCAAGTCCCGATTTAATTCGATTTATGCTGTTATCAGTGTTTGCATGATAGCATGGCTGTGGTGTCACATCAATGTATGCGCTCGGTGTTTGCTGATATCAAACTGTAGCATTAGGACCACTGAGTTAACCTTTGTAGTGATACTCACTCCTTTTTATTTAAACCTGGTTTAATTCTGGGATAGTTGAATATTTGTATATAATCCCTGCAGCTGTCAGACTCTATAGCAGGGGTCACAGCCTTTATTAAAACAGAGTTAGATAAAACTGTGAACAGTTTGGTTCATCTCTAGTTACATGGTTCTATCTTGATAAGCTGTCTTATCACAGATTAATTTTTCAAAAATATTAATGATTTAAGCAAGGAAAGGGCTACATGTCAACACACAACTCTTTATTTCTATTAATGTCTTACTTCATTCCTACCTGATTGACATGTTTAGGAATTATGAGTGATTGGCTCACTGTAGTTGTGAAAGTTGCTACCAATCAAATTATGATATGTTAAAGTTAAAACAAAACACAACTGTTTTAGATATTATCTAATATACATTTTGTAATTATCCTTATAATTACAAAATGTTTTATGTAAGATTTAAGTTTTGTGATTTATATCTGACATCACAAAAGTATTTTGGAATTTGAATAATGTATTTTGTAACTGCAGTACACATAATACTGATTTTGAACAATTTTGTCCAGGTTCCTTGTCACCGGGGACTCCTTCAGGACCATCGCGTTCAGTTTCAGAGTCGGTGTGTCCACGGTGAGCCAGATCACCCCCCAGGCAGCGACGTCCATCTGGGACTGTCTAGTGGACGACTTCATGGCTGTGCCTTCACCTGGAGACTGGCGGTCCATCACAGAGGGATTCCAGGAGCGCTGGAACTTTCCTCTGTGCTGTGCAGCTCTGGATGGGAAGCACATCCAGACAAAGGCACCCCATATATCATATAGGAGACACACACATTGATATACACTAAATATTCATTTCATTTCTTTTTTGTGGTGCCCAAATTGATGCACCTGCTTGATTTTGTTTAAACAATTATTGCACACTTTCTGTAAATCCAGTAAACTTCTTTTCACTTCTCAAATATCACTGTGTGTGTCTCCTGTATGATATTTAACTGACATTTTTTATTGTAACAACCAACGATTTATACAGGAAAATAATGTCTATTAACAAGGTTGCCCAAACTTCTGCATCCCACTGTATCAGTATATTTTGTCATTAGTATAATATGAAATAAATTCTACATGTGTCAAGTCGTGTGCCAACATTTGCTGTGTAGTAGAACTGAGACATTAGTCATTATAAACATTTATTTGAAATAATATTAGAATTCTCAAACAGAAAAACATTAAACATAAATATATAAAATATAAGTATTTACAGAGAGACAGGAATAAAAAGGACCAGCTGCTCTCCAGAGCGGGAACAAGGGCTGAGGAGGAAATGCTCCATTGGAGACTGGTGTGAACGCTTCAGGGACACCAGGATGGCCAGCTCCACCGCCGATGGACCGTCCTGGGACCCGTCCCTCATCCGCCTCAGAGCTGTCCTCCTCTGTGGGCCTGTAAAACAGCACAAAACACAAAGAAATGAGAAGGCTGCTACTAGATTTTAATTTCAACATTGAAAAAAAAAAACAAAACAATAACAGGATATAATCAGATTGGTTGTAGATATTTAGTAAAGGTGATCACAAGGGAATCCCACCGACTAAAAAGGTATCAGTGCTTGCTGTACATATCTGTGGGTGCAGCAGCAGGAGCTCAGGGACTGGGGATGCTCTGCTGCAGAATCAGTTGGTTCTATCAATACAGTATTAAATGTTAACAGGTTGGATATAATAATCGTAGAGTAGACCGTGGTCCCTCATTTATTGCAGCAGGGGTTCTCAGAATAACTAGCCCCTGGTCACAGTTCTCACAATTGATTCTCAAAGTGCAAACCTTTGTAGATTGCAAAACGTAAAAGTATTATTATGCCGCGGTTTGTCTTCATCTGCCCGCCACTTTCGTGCGCCTTTTTCCCTCACGGTGCAGGTGTCTATTTCCGAATGAGGCTCATAGTTATGGGTGTTTTTGTGCTGTTTTTTCTATTGGACGCGATGGTTATCAAAACCAAACGTGATAAATTTGGCAAGCGCAGGAGATTTGTCAATCAGGCTGCAGAATGCAATGCTGTACTGTGCAATAAAAAATCAGCGAAAAAGCAAAGCAGTGACGGATGAACAGCGGGACCACTGTGTGCTGTTTATTAATAAACAATAAAATATATTCCTAAATGACAACATGCATAAAAGCAGAACGGTATTTGTACGTCAGTGGGAAAATAGCGGTGGCTTGCTAGCTTTTGTGCGGCTTCCCCGGGTCAGTGAAAACTTTCAAAAGAGAAATGAATGAACTTACCAGGTTGCCCGATCTCTTTACATATCTTCCTCCAAGCTCGGTCCTTTTTATTCCTGTCTCGGTACTGAAAGCAGCTGGTGTTGTACAGCTCCGAGTTGTTTGCTACCGCATTGATTAGCCTTCCCCTCCATTGAAGTATGAAAGGCTTTGGCTGGATCTGCCCCTTTGACCTAGGTAACAGCCACGTCACCAGGCTCCTGATTGGTTGTCGCGGCGCGATTTGACGCTGGAGTTCAGATTTTTCCAACTCGAGCGGTAGACGCGAAACGCGCGTATGCACAAAATGCAACACAAAAACTCACGCGCGTGGTTTTATTCGCGAGTCAAACGCGCCAGACGCGCTACACTGACGCGCGTTTCACGCGTTTTGGCGTTTTCGCGACGCAAATCTGCTTCCGAATTTTCGCGGGACCCGCAATCGCGCGTCATCGCGCCTTTCCATTGACTTTACATGTAAACCTGACGCTCTATTCGCGTCCATCGCGTTCGGTGTGAACACACCGTTAGGAAACCAGTGGGTGTCGTTATGGTATTTACTTCTGGCATCTGTAATGAATTTTGGAATGAATATTGTTAGAATTATGTGAATCATATACTTTAGTTCTGATGAGTGGCTCCATAGTCTCATGGTTTACACGTTGTGGCTCGAGTGGTTTGTATACAGATCAATGCTTGGGCAAGATACTGAACCCTGAGTTACCTCTGTGTGTGTGAATGCATTCAGCAGATAAAAGCACAAGGCACTATATAAATACCATTTCTTTTACATTCACCTAAGAAGTGAAAAAATCTCCAGTTTAATCCCAGCTGGAGACAAAAATCCCTTGGGGGTGTCAGGAACGGAAATCCACTGTGAATAAGGAGAGCAGCTGAATAAAGCTTTTATGCTGGAGCCCTCATGGTCACTATATTCAAACACTTTTCACCACAATCATAAAACATCAAATGAGGAATTGTCCATAAAGTCCTGAGTGCTTAACAAGAAGTTGCAAGTTCTTCACTGGAAATACACCTACTGGTTTGTTGGGGGCAGATGATTAGTGCCCAGACTTTCAGAAACAAATAACCAAACACAGAAAACATAACAAACCACAAATGTCTGCCAGGGTTTCAGCACTGAGCTGGGAAACATCTTGTTATTTATGCGAGCTGAGCCTATTTGAATAAGAAAAATACTGCTTCTTTCACAATATACCAAATCTTTTCATTTCTTTTGCCTGAGTCACTGAGAAATTTTCTTCACTCCGCAGCCCACCAACTTCACGAACCCAGTGTATGCCACCCTGTACATGGGTGCCCACAACAGCCGCAATTCTCTGGCGAGCACTGATGAAAAGAAGGAGCTCCTCTCCCAGGTTGACGAGGACATGAGCGACCCCCTGGCATAGACCTCGGCATGGACTGAACTCTGCCAACATTGCCCTGCCTCGCCCAACCTAGAGCCAGCGAGCTCTCTCATTTTATGCCTTTACCAACTGAAAAGAAAAGCAACAAAAAAACATAAAAACGAGAACACTGTATAAAATGTATAAAATGAAGAACTACTTTTTTTAAGTGATTGCAGTATTATATTTTGTTCTTTGACAAAAAGGAAAACAAATCCTCTGGTGACGGAAAAGAAACCATTTTATAGACATTTTATCCAGTTCTTTTTCATTTTGCTCACTTCCTCACAACTTCTCTCTCTCTCTCTCTCTCACACACACACACACACACACACACACACACACACACACACACACACACACACACACACACACACACACACGACCCTTCTGAAAGCAGCATAAGTAGAGCTTATCCTACTTGGAAAGCCTTGATCTGATCTGATCTGATCTGGCACCTACCTCTGATCTCTGTTCACCCTATGGGTCAATCACACACTCACACACACACTTACTCGCTCTTCACCAGGGCACTGTGTGGTTTCTTGGCCAGCATGTGAATCAAATGACAGGTGGAAAAGGTGCTGGGAGAGCAGGAGGTGCAGCCCTCTGATCAGGGTGTGGCTCTGGCAGGACTCATTGGCCCAGCAGTCCTCTAATTTAGAGACACCAACAGGACACCAAGAGCTTCAAAAGAACTGTAGGTACTATATGTGCAGTGATCATAATACTTATTCATTCTGAACCAAGTAGCATTTTTACACTCACACACATTTACTAGAACAAAAGCAGGTCAGAACTGAATTACTTTGATGCAATAGTATTAGAAACATCTAGAAAAGCTAAACTATTATTTGATTTTACTCAATTCACGTTTCTAGGCAGCAAATAAGAGGTTGGCTAGCTCAGTTTATGGGGGTCTCTGTCAAACAAGTTCTTCACAGGCTCAACCGTACTGTATGCCTAATGTGGACTAATCTCATACAATCTTGTCAGTGCTCTTAATGCTCCTTTAGCATAACGCCTGCTGTTGAGACATCAGAAGTCATAATATACAGTCATCTTCTTTATAGTGAAGTAAAACTGAGTGATAAACAGTCAAAACTCTCCACTGTAGTCACACTATATGTATTTGTGCAACTTTTTTTCATTGCACTTAGTCTGCTAGGCAGCTAGTTTCTGTGTTGGATGGATTCTTATTTATCATAGACTGCATATAAAACATGGTCATACTCGCTACATTTAGAAGCCTGAATTTAGGAATATAACCGCTGCTGTAGTTTTTGGTACTTTTTTGGAGTCAGAAGTTAGCCCTACTGTATTTGGATACAAGGTGCAGAGTGTGCTAATGCTTGCAAGCTTGGTTAGCTTGCAACTGTTAGCAAGGGGGCTTTGCTCATGTGCTTTCATGTCAAAAAGTCATCATAAATAAGTCTCCAATAACACCAGAAAAAGTCGCCAGATTTGTCGCTAGTCGCTTTTTAGAAAAAAAGTTGCTAAGGGGGTCTGAAAACTCGCTAAATATAGCGACAAAGTCTTTAAGTTGGCAACACTGGGTAGCACCCATGTGGTGGAAAGGTCAGGTTCAGTGATTTTAAAGTATGGGGAGTGAGGGCTCCCCCTCCCCCTAAAGTAACCAGTCACACACATCTAAATGTATTTTCTTGTACCTATAAACATGATCATAATGTTTTTCTTGCTATTTTAACACTGGTGTGTATGTGACCGACTTACTTTTGGTGCCAGCCACTAGAGAAACTCCCGTTTTTGGCACTTGTGCTTCATTTTTCAGCCTCCGTAGTTTCTCCATGGATATGTCTCCAAGTCCCTGGTGGCTGGCTGCAGTATAGGTCAAACCCTTGCCCTGCCCCCCAAAATAAAAGTCTGTCTCAAAAAAACCCACATGAAATATGTCTTCAGTTGTACAAAGTACTTTTTTATTTTTACTTCTGAAAATCAGTGTTCCTTTTGTATGTATTGTACTGTATGAAAACCTTCCCCTCACACCCCCCTGTTTGTCTTTGTAATTTATGCTTGTAGTTTCACAGAAAGATTACTACCCTTTGAAAATAGGACGTTTCAAACTGGATTGACACAATAAAAACATACAATGACTCGTGTCACGCACTAATGGCAGATGGGTTTTAAAGAGTATGGTCAACCAAATCCCCCCAAAACACATTTTGTCTCATTCTCGATGCCATTAAGTGAGAAAATATGCTCTTCTCTCTTTTTTGGTAATGTGGGTGCGGCGACCTTGTAAGCACTCCACAAAAACCACTTCAGCACGGCCTGTGGTGCTGAGAGATGTTAATACCAGGTCCTTATGTTTGAAATGGATGGTGAGGTCAGTTTGTTAGTTTGTGACTGTGACTGGCTTGCAGGTATGAGGCTCTCCACTGAGTGAGTTATGGCTGTAATTTAGCCCTGATTACATTTACCATTACTTTACCTCTAATTAGACTGTCAATCAGGGCAGGTGAAGATGAAAGATGCAGTCAGACTGACTGTATAGGAATTATACTAAATTCAGGGTTGGTGACAAATGCATTGATTCAAGACGAGCTCGTGTTGCACAAAACCACCTCTTAACCTTCTGAAATTAATTACACCGTCAAGTCAAAGAAACGTAAAACATCAACAAAAGTACAGAGTGGCTCGCGTTCATATATTTATGTTTTTTAAATAAACACTCCCCATTTTATACATTGGGATACAGAATGTATTAATCACCTTGCTCTGTTCCCATTTCGGATAATGAATCCCTGCCTAGGTTTCAGCCCTGACCTCAGGGTCACACTTTATAGACGACCACTTCATCACAGAACAATCTGCAGGGCGACTGCAGACAAAAGACACACAGCCTCACCTGATGACCTTGCATCTTGATCCATGGAGAAAGGCTGGAGAATAAAATAAACAGGAAATAATAGGATATACAAAGTATAGTTGATCATCTCTATGGAGCCTTAGTGTACGTGTTTTTTATGTGTAGTTAGAAAGAAAGGAACACTTAAGGGTGACTTTGGTATAAGTGTTATTGAGTAATTGGGGCATTTAATGACTCTCTTATTTCAGGGTCAATTGAGCAGTGGATGGAGTTTTTACTGAACTGACACTTAGGGGTTGGGTGGTTTTGGAAATTTATCAGAGTAGGGATATTTTTGATGGTCTCACCAAAAGGTTAAAGTAATTGATATTTTTCAATGTCCTGTTTCTTTTTATACATAAGAAAAGCGCATAAGAGGTGATAAGTAGTATCTCCAAAACCAATGTTGATGCGATTGTATTTGTTGGGCTCATTTGGGGCAGGTCTGGCTTTACTTGTGTCACCCTTGTTTCATTTTTTTTGCCATAGCTGCTGTGGCTGGAGAGGCCCATACAGGAGCCCAAGAATAAAATCAGTGTGAGTAATGTTGTCTGATTGCTGAAAGGGTCAGCCACACTTGATGTTTTCAAAATGAATCTAACATTTGTCCCAGTGATCTTTGGGAACACTCCCAAAAATAAGTGATAATAAGTAACAGTGGCTAGGATGTGCCTAAGGCTTTGACTTTATGTATATCAGGTACTTTCACATTGACAAGTACGAGATATCTGAAAACAACACAATCTAGGGAATGGAAACTACTTCATGTAAGTACTTTGCCCCAATCAAAAGCTGTTCAAACAAGTGATTGCATTCTCACTTGAACAGTTTGCTGCAGATTGCCCATAATTTTTATGGGTAGAGTAAGTCAGAGTAAGCTCTGACTTCTGGCAAAACTGGATCAGATGGAGTAGGGGATGCATGTCCTTGCCTAGACCATTTTGCACCATCCCAAAACAGGTGTGGCGCAAAATACTTGCTATTACTTCTTTTCCCACCAACACAGTGCCAGTTCCTCATCTAGAATCACTTCTATGGATTTACACAAAGACTAATTGGGGTGATCGTGGCGCAAGAGTTGGGAGTTCGCCTTGTAATCGGAAGGTTGCCGGTTTGAGCCCCGGCTCGGACAGTCTCGGTCGTTGTGTCCTTGGGCAAGACACTTCACCTGTTGCCTACTGGTGGTGGTCAGAGGGCCTGCTGGTGCCAGTGTCCGGCAGCCTCGCCTCTGTCAGTGCGCCCCAGGGTGGCTGTGGCTACAATGTAGCTTGCCATCACCAGTGTGTTAATGGGTGGATGACTGGATATGTAAAGCGCTATATAAATACAGGCCATTTACCATTTTGATTTGCATCAGTAGCTCAAGGAAGGGAAATGTAGCAATGATTTGCAGATACAGACCACAGATTTTGTTTTCCATGGTTTTCTTTAAAACAAAATGATTCCAGAGTCAGTCATGTTTGATTCCCAAACTTCCACAGTGGCACCAAATCAGCGTAAAATTCAAATATGTGTCAAATGAAACAAAGACTGTGGCAATGGAGCCTAAAACACCACAGTTAGGAACGCAGACCTTTCTTCTCCAGTTGGACCTGATGGATGCTTATAAGCTCCACAAGATGATACAGGGCATGTTTGCGGAGACTCCATTGGCATCATGGAGTATTTGTAGTATGTTACAGCTGGTGGCTTTCATCATGACCCTGATTCAGGGCTCAAGACGTGGTTAAGCAATAAAGCTGCTCTGTACACCACAAACTGCAGCTATGACCCCTGCCCACCACCTCTCAGAGCTTTCCCAGATTTACCAGGGAACTGACAGGGACAAGAAGAGTCCATATGCCCTTCATGATGAAGAGAGTAAGGTTGGAAGAGTGGGGTAAGAGTGAGCATTTACAGAGCGAGATGTATAGGATGTATAGGATGTATAGGATAGGATACCATTCTCCACAGGTGTATTTAGGGAATAAATAGTGGTTGACAAAAGGAAGGAATGATTTTATTTTTTGGTTTTTGAACATCCACAGGTGCACTGTGTTTCCCACATTTGAACTCTTTTGACTCACTGGGGCATTGATTTAAGCAGTCTGATGGCAACTTGTCAATAAAGTGTTAGTGAGACAGGAAGGAGCAGAACAATAGAGTAGCTAAGAGTAGATTAAATTTTCTCTTTCATCATCACATGAAAAGCACATATAGTAAAGTATATATGCAGATCTATGAAAAAGCATCCCCCCCTTTCTGATTTAATTAAATATCAGACAAAAATTCAGTAAATACAAAATGCAGTTTTTAAATGACGATTAGACTCATTAAACGAAAAAAGCTATCTGGCCCTTTCTAAGTCTTTGGGACTCCAGTGAACCCCAGTAACAGTGATTATCCACACCTTAACAAAATTTGTAACACTAGAAACCTTCCCACAAGTTTAT